TATATATATGTGTATATATATATATATATATATATTATGTGTTTATATTTAAACATAAATATATATTGGTTTATATATTTTATATATCATAGTATTCAAATTCAAATTTAAACTTTTCCTCATCAATTCTCATATTAATGGAAACTTCATTGAATATTTATTGAACGTTTAATTGAGATGCATTCTTTTTTTTATAATCATGTTCACTTTAAATGAACATTTATATTTCGCTTATGTGGCAAAATGAAAAAAAAATCGCTCACGTCAGGGACATAATGATAGAATTGGACTTCTACAAAAATATTCCCTCACTCTATCTTTCTCTTTTCCTCTCTCCGGTCCGCACTTTTCCTTCAACTTTCCTCATGTTTCCCACTCTATCTCACGACATGACAAAAGAAGAGAATTTTAGCACAATCACCCTCTCTCATTATTTATGGTCCCACTTCTCTCTCACAATAAACTTGAATGAAATGTGTGTTTTTTATTGGATTTTTATAAAAAGATCAAACTCTCTCCTCCTCTTAATTATCCTTCCGCAATCGTCCCATCCCCTCTTTCTAATTTTCCTTTTTCTTTTTCATAATTGAAACCCCATTGCATCTCCTTCTTTCCTCCTCTCCACCGAAAACCCACAACCGCATTGCAAATCCTCTCCCCCGTTTTTCCTTTGAGATCTGGCCTGCAACAACAGTTCAACTCACTACCGGTAAATTTTACCTCCGATGAGCAGCCCAACGTCGTACACTTGGTTCGGCTTACAACCACCTAGCTCCCTCCACGCAGCAGCCATTATAATCTCTCATTACTACAATCCTGTTCACACCTACTCTTCTTATTCCATCCCACAGAATATGCTGCAGCTCTACAACTAGCTCTCTCCGATTTGTCGTTCCTTTCACTTGTCGGAAAAGCCACAAGCTTTAGCGGCAGCTCATCTCCTAGGCCTCCATTCCAACTGTTGTACTAATCCACGCATCATATATCCTCTCCTACAGCCACTCCGTACTCCCACGCAGCAAGCTATCTCGGCTCCATTAAGTTTCCTTCACTTTACTCCAACAGCAGCATCATGTAGGTTTCGACTACACCTCCTGCTTTGCCTTGGCCGCAAACTATCACACGCAGCAAACCTCCCTTATCTCTACCCGAGATCCCCTCTAGCTTTCTCTCTCTCTAACACCAACCTCTATATTTCCCTTGAAATAGAAAGATATTTAGGGGGAAAAGAAAAGAGAAGCAAATTAAAAAAAAATAAAAAATTTGTGATCCTTGAAATTTGTACCCAAGCATCGTCGATCATCCAAAATGTATATAAGTTGGTATTTCTCAACTCCTAAAATCTTAATTGTTGTGTGTTCGGAGCGACAATCGGAACTCGTGCATAGTTTTTTAGCATAACGAGGCAAATTGTAGGCAATGCTCACAATGTGATCCTCTTTGCAATGGGTTTGGCGTAACGAGCCGAGCAAGTGAACGCTTTTCTTAGCGTGGCAAGAGATATTTAATGTTGATTAAATTCATGATATTTTCGGTGTAAATCCAATATTTTAAGTCTTTATTATAATGATTTTATGCTTGCGGAAGGTATTTTTGCTATGTTTTGCAAATTACAGGCATTGAGCATGCATCCGGAAGCCAAAATACATGTGGGACAAAACGAAAGGTTGGCTTAGATGGCGTATCTATGTCGCCCCATGGCATAGCTATGTCATGTCCTTTGGCTAAGAAGCGAATGAGCGCTTGAACAGATAGAGGTGGCGGCGTAATTAGGCCTGTCTTCGGCTTAATTAAACCGCCCTACAACACATCCACTATGAATCGGGCGTAGTTAAGCCAGGCTTGGAATAAATCCTATTATGGCAAGAAATTGGAGGTGGTTTGAACTCAACCTGTTTAAAGCTATTTGGGGGATGAATTAGGGCACTATTAGGCTGTGGAGGCTGGCTCTTTCCCAAGTTCTATGAGTTTTTGTAAACCCTAGGGTCTTCTTCATTGGTTTCCTTTGGAGAAGATTTCTAGGGCTGTTTTCTTTGTGAGTATGGAGAGTTGAGAGAAAAATTTTTGTGAACTTGCACGAGGAAGATCGATAGAAAGGATTGCGGTACATTGCAAGGGTCGATTGGCTCGGCTTTGAGTTTTATGTAGCTTCCACCATTATTTTCCTTAATATTTTCAATGGAACTCTGTGTGTTCTCTTTCCTCAGGCATAGTAGCTAAACCTTTTTCGTACTTTTGTGATGTAAGGCATGGGATTTCCATTCATATTTCCTCAAATAAATGCTTGAATTCTATGAAATTATGCTCAAACATTTATAGCCATTCATGTCAAAACATATTGGCCCTTTAAAGGTTCAACGCTGTATTCACCTTGCAGATATAATCAATTCTTCAAGGTGGTATGTTCCAAACTTCCTCGACAAATAATAGCAGCTGGGCAAACCGTCATAAAGCTACTGTTTTTCATTTATCTATGAAAAGGTGTGGTCTAGATAGTGTAGTGTTTATCACTTATGCAAGAAAGAGCGCTAAAATACATTACAATAAGAACCGATTCGCGAACCTAAATAGCACGAAACTCGCAATTCTTAAAAGAGACGTAAAATTCAAAGAGGAAAAAATATCTTACCAGATTCTGGTAACGATGGAACTGTTGGGTGCACCTTTCTCGCCTCCAGGCTTCCAGATCGAAGACATTCACGCCAAAATTCCACGCGCACGCCCTCGGGCTGAACTTCTCCCTCACCACTGGATTTGAGAAATTCATATACCTCGAATATCTCCTGAATCCACCGAAACACATCTCCACTGCTCCATTTACCTTCCCATCGAGATCAATCGTCCATAGCCCAGACAGATCCTTCTGCACAACCACATCGTCTTCCAGATAGATTAACCTCTTCAGCTTGGGAAACATCTCCGGCAAATAGAACCTCAAATAATCCAGAAGCACCAAATCGCGTCGGCCGCCCTCGATCTGCCGCACCACCGGCGAGTAACTACCGTTCAAAAATCCAAACACCGACGACGACCTAACCTCAACCGTCGCGCCATTTGCTGGTGGCCGGCGAGTAAACCACACCTGCATCGCTACTGCGTACATCGGATCTGTGACAACATGGAACACGTGTCGGCGAGGCTCTACCGCGTTCTTGACTACCGAATTAACGACGACGGAGACGGCGATTAGGTTGTCGGAGAAGATGGCGTAGTGATAGAGATCTGGATCGGATCTATCTGGGGGGTTTAGACGGCGATAAGCCTGAGGGTGGGAGATTCGCTCCTCCATAAGGCGCATTGCGAGGCAGTGGAGGCTCTTTGGGGTGGATCCCGCAGCAATGTGGCTCGAAAGTGCCCCGAGCTTCCTGGCGCGGTGGAACTGCTCCCTGACGGCGAAAATAGTGTCCCGGAGCTTCTGTATCTTCAGTTGAGTGTCGAAGGGTTCTTTGTACTCGGAGATGAGCTGCCGAGCAAGTTTGATCCGGTCTTTGGCCTCCTTTTCCACAGGACGAATGTTGTCCTCGTCTACTAGGATATCGGATTCAAGGCGAGATGCAAGATTGGAGAAGCCGGTAGCCATGTCCTCGAAGAGGCGCAATTGACGGGAGTTTTCAAGCTTCAGGCGGCGAGCGTAAGCGGCGTAAGCATGGACAAGCGCGAGATGGTCCACTGCTTGTCGGTATATGAGGTCGAGGCGGGTTTGGAGGGGATCGGAGTTGAGTGCCAGGAAAGTTCGCCGGATCCCGGCGGCAGCAGCCTGACCTGAGACAGCGCTTCCATCGCCAGAACCTGGTGGCAATGAAACCGGAGTTGAGGAGGAGGAAAGGATGACGCTGAGGGAGGCGAGGAAGAGGAGCGTGAATACGGCGGATACAAAGACCTTATAGGAGAAAAAGGTTCCGAGACCGCCCATCGGGCGGGTAGGTCGGCCGCCGGCCATGCAGCCGAACTCAGCAACCGCCTAATAAGCTCCAAGGAAGAGGAGCGTGAATACGGCGGATACAAAGACCCTATAGGAGAAAAAGGTTCCGAGACCGCCCATAGGGCGGGTAGGTCGGCCGCCGGCCATGCTGCCGAACTCAGCAACCGCCTAATAAGCTGGTGTTGCGTCCATGCGTTCCTGTATCACAATGCGAACTTCCGAAGCGAAACTCGTATGGTTCTACCAGTGAATCTATCGATTAGGGTTTAGATGGCAGAGGATATGATGAATCCTACTTGCGTATAAATTGATAAATCACTAGTTAGGCAAATTCCTCGTACGGGTAGAGAGAAGGTGCGTTAATTGCACTTTTTCTTTTTCTAATAAATACTTTTTTTTTTCTTTTCATTTTTTTTTAATTTTTTGGTGGGATTGATCATTAAATAAATAATTGGGTGTCAAGAAAGCTGCTTGTTCTCAAACAATGTTTTTTTCATTAAGTAACTAGTGTTCGACTTGTTCGTCAAGTAAACGAGTCGAACACGAACAATTTTTTAAAGCTTGAATTATAAACAAGTCGAACATGAACAGCTCTTTATTCGCTCGTGTTCAACTCGTTTTTTGCTCGAAATAAAAAATTATATAATTATTTATTTAATAATATATGACAAATATTTTTTATATATTAATATATTATATATATTTATATGTAAGTTTAAATCATAACAACTCGTGTAGTAATATGATTATGTGTCTTGTTTTGTATATATCTGGTCGAGGTTCGAATCCAACACTCTATATTTTTATTTTTTTCAATTTAATTTTAACGAGTCAATTTTGAGCCGAACGCGAGCCGAACATGAACACGAATATTTAAATCGAGCCGAATACAAACACTCTGCTCATGGTCGAAATTCATGAGCCAATTTCGACCACTAGCCAATTTCGACCACGAGCCAATTTCGAACAAGCCGAACACGAGCCCAGCTTGAGCTCTCTCAAACTCGGCTCGTTTACAGCCCTATTAGTAGTTGGCATGGGAATCTATTTAATTTTCTTAATCTTTTATTTTTTTTGGAATATTGAGGGCTTCATCTAAAGAAAATTCAATGATAATAAAGAAGAAGATTACAAATTAAAAAATAGGAATGTCTCGTGCCCAAAAAAAGGGAATGAGAAAGCCTATGGGCCATGGATATGGATAAACCTAATGGTAAAAGAAAACAAAATTGAAGATAAGCATGCTGGAAGGACATAAAATAGAACCCAAAAATATAGAAATTTAATAATATGGCTCCATTCAGGGCTCCCAAAGTGATTGAAATGTTTGTAGGACTGAAAATATGCCACAAATAGCAGTTTATATTCAATATGTGCAAAGCCATAGAGTGCTAGAATTGGGGGCAGCCACAAGTAGAATAGAATTTATTAACTTCATACAAAATAGACCAATTTGAATAATCGATTAAGCCCATTTAAATAGTTGTATAGTATCATTGCTTAATTTCTTTTATATTTTACACGTTTTTTTATGGATAAAATTGCATTATAAAGAAAGATATTTTTATATTTTTCTTACAGGTACAACAGATAGTAAAAGTGAAACGAAGTGGAGAAGAAATGGAGCGAAACGGAGCTGATATAGGTATGTGGAACTTAAGGGACTGGCACCTAGGCGCCAGCCATTGGGCGCCAAGGCGCTCCTACCAAGCATCTTGGCGCCATCTACCTGCCGATAAGGCGCCAATGTTTACTTGACCAGACAGAGAGGCTGGCGCCAAGGAACCACCAACGGCTGGCCAGTTCTCTGTAGTTTTTTCTCCCACAGGAGTAATGGAGAGGTTGTAGGAGGTTCCTTGAAGGATGTTGAGCACTTCTGAACATTTAGGAAGTCCAAGGAGAGTCTAGATTCGGAGTCTTGTAGTAGGAGAAGATAGTTTGCATTTTATTGAGAATTGGTGGGGAATTTGAAGGATATTTGTAAAGAGGATATTCAGCAAAGCAACAAGGATTGAGAGATCCTTTGGGGAGGAATTTTCAACACTTTGTAAAAAAAAACTAAGTACTGTATACTCTTTTGTATTACAATTTTCTGTAAACAAAATTCTAGTGGATTTAATTTGTTTCAAAGATGTTTTGTGGTAATTTTTTCATGCTTTGTGATTTATTTTTTTATCTTTCCTCTTGTGATGAAAAAGTAGGTTGTGTAGGGATATTAGAATGCATTTAAATTTGGTTTTTACTTTTTAATGTGATGATTTTCCTTCTGCAATTCATTTATTTATCATTATGGCCAAATGATTGTTAAAATCCATAGTGAACTCATAAAGATTTGGGAGAGATATAGCATAAACAACGAGGAATATCACATTGAACTATAGGGTATGAAGCAAAAGTAAACTAGAGGGAGATGCAAATAGATAGGGAAATACTCTTTGATGGGTTCAAGTTAGGGTTTAAGGAATTAAAATAAGTATAATTGAACTTCTTTATGCCCCTGGAGAGGGTAAAGAAGAGAATTGCTCATATTTGTCACTAGTCACAGTTACAATTTAATGCATTCATTTTCCTACATACAACTTATATCATTACAAGGGAGAGTAACTTTCATATCTTGATTTTTCCCAAATTCAAATATATTTAGTAGGATTTTGTAGGATTAAATCTTCAATAGTAGTTTGCTAGAATTCAATAAAACTAGTTAGAACAACCTAAACCCAATGTTGCTTCCAAGTTAAGTCTAATTTTAGTAGGATAGAGCTTCTCTTAAGTTAATTAATTCACTTTTGGTAGGATCGATATTTTGAATTCTAAAATTCGATATTACTTAAACGATACGTATACTTGCATAAAGGTCTTTGCACCTAGAATTAGGGTGTATTAAAGTGTTAGGCATAGTTGCATGTCGGGTCGCAATCAGACTCCAACGCGAGAAAGTCGGGCTACTCCAGCTTACCCTTCAGGAGCCCTGAAGGTCTTCTTTAACGAGTATGTGCTCGTTCTCCATCACCAAATGCCTCTGCTAAAGTATTAGGTTTGAATAAGCTTAAGTCATACCTGAACTGCTTGCTTCGAACTCATCGCTTCAAAGTTGTTCCTGTTATATCAGGTTTTAGGTCTCTAACTTCTAGCATCTCATTCTGAAAGTAAGTGATGTAGGGTCGTGGGCTCTCATTTTCTCCCTGCTTGAGGTCGAGCAGGGAGTTTGATTCTTTCCTCGGCTTCTGTACTTTTGAGAAGTGCAAAAAGAAGAGTCTTTTAAACTCACAGCGAATTGGGATGGTTTCGGTCAACAGCTCGTTGAACCACCGGAGGGCTGACTCCCTCAGAGTATACAAGAAGAAACGACACAATATGAGCTTGTCGGCCTAGAGTAGACTCGTCGATGATTCGAACAACGCAAAGTGGTCGATAGGGTTAGACGTCCCTTTATAAGAATCCAGGTGGGATCCTTAGCTCGGGCGGCAGTATTTCCTCTTTGATTTGGCGAGCAAAAGCTCCTTCTGTGAGCAACAGGACCAAAACTTGCATCGTCTCTTCCCATCATATATTTGTCAGTGCAGTCGTGGCGGTTTCAGTGTGCTCGGACTCGCCTTGTCCCTCCGTCCACTGGTCGCTGACCTGGTTTTCCAGAGTAAGTGGGTTCCTTGGTGGGGACTTTTAGAGACAGGCTCCATGAGGTTCCGTTTCCAAACAAAGCGTCTAGTTGTCTCAAGGCGTTTGCTGCCTAGAGGACCTCTAACGGTTTCATCATGAGAGTTACTTGGGCTTGCAAGCTCTAGACCTGCGCGTGGACATCGGGTTATGCAGCATCTCTATTGGGTTCCATGCATTTTATCTCTCTTTGGGGAGTTTCTAATTCATATTCTTTCCCAATTCTTGTTTGTGGCATGCTCAATGCTCACCGCACCATCTTTCAGAATGTTGGATCCTAATTTCTCCTTTTTGTTCTTTTTGTGAGCATGTCATGAGAATCGGAATTGAAAGAGGCAAGAGAGAGAAAGAATGCACAAAAATTTCCCCCTCGGAAAGAGAGGAAAGAACATGTCTTTTATTCCTCTTGAGATCGCTTATTTAAAGGGGTCTAATTAGTACAATTAAGAAAAATGGGAACTGTTATGGTAACCTAGTGTAATAGAATCAATGTGTATAATTTGAATTAATGACCATCATGAAGTTTAAGAAAAATAACAGTTCACAATGACTTATCAATTTAAGTAAATAATATTGGTCAGTGAGTGACTGATTGTATCGGTCGACGGATTGAAATCTACCTATATATGTCTAGAGGTGGTAATTGACTGGCCTAAATATGGTCGACTGTCTTCACAAGAGACCTAGTTGATTGGTTCTGCGAGATTTGTTGCTTCGGTTACTCGGTCGACTAATTGGTGGACTTGTTTCTTTAGATAGGCCATGGCAATGAGCCATGGCTCACTTGTTGTTTGGCTCAACTTACAAGACATGTGTCTCGTACGCCTGGTGGTTTATCACCTTGACCAGATCTTTCCTCTCGCATGGTCTTGACCAGATCTTGTCGCTGCCCATGCACAGTATCAAACGACACTCACTGACAGGATGATTTGTGACTTACCCTTGGCAGATCTTACAGCTACCAGTAGGGGAACCATCTCTGTAGTTTTGTTCTATCCCGGGCTTAGAGATGTGACTTCTCATGGTTGGCGTTGCATTGTCGGTCGATCGTTCTATTTGAGATTCGTGCCTGTATTTCTAGTATATACATAACATAACTTAAAATAAAATTTTATTACTATATTTAGCTTATCTTTCACTTATAAATATACATCTAATTAGTCATATTTTTCTTTGGTCACTCAATACTTCCATTCAGTCTCATTTGTTCAGTAATATTAAATACACATATAAAAAATTATATAGGTGTGCATATCCTCATAATTTCACTTTCATGCATTTAAAATACAACCACTCCCATCTTATTGCAAATATATCTCCTTACACACAAATATAAAAATATCATCAATCTCAATATATATATATATATATATATATATATATATA